ACCATATAGAATCTGGAAAAGTGTTTTATAATTATGTTTTTTGAAAAATAAGTATTTAAAGATTTAAAACAAAATGGAGGTGCAGGAATTTTTAAATAATTATTTGGTTAAGAAATATGGAAATCAAAACTGGTATTTCAAGTTCTGAAACATAATGTAGGTGTAGTACTTTTTAAAGTATTATTTGCTTTACTGTAAAATTTTGGTGTAGTATTTGTTTTTAAAATTATTATTTGCTTTAAAATATGGAAACCATAATTTGGAATACCCAAAAATAGTTATATATAACCTAATATGATAATATATTTATGGAAAATAATAAGATAATATATTTATGGCTTTTATCCTCAAAATCCATATTTATGGAGTATTAATTTTTTTTACAACCAGAGAAGGTTTTTTTTTTTTTTAACAACGAACGGCTGATCTATTACTCAAGTTTGAGGGGGTCTGGGAATCCAGACCGGAATAGAACAACCAACATACACCAACCAGAGAAGGTTAAGATTGCATTTTACGCATAATTTATTTATAGTAACGTTAGGATTTTATGTATAGGCCTTAGCTGTATTCCTAAGCTTTTAGATTTAAGAAATAATCATGTAGTATACACGTTCATTATTGTAAAAAGAATTTTGCTCATGAAATCACTTGGGGATATAGTCAGTGGTGCTTAATATATACAGTTTTGGTTATAATACTTTTTCTATGTTAACTAAATCGGACGGTCTTTATTTGCGACCAACTGCTTCATTAAACTAAGACCGTAAAAATATGATTTATTTGATCTAATTGATTTTGCTGATATATAAATTGTCTAAGCTTTTATACTACACAATTGTATTTGGAGTGCTGTGATTTCTAAGAAAATATGTCTCTAATTTTGCTATTAAGCAGATATAAAAGTTGTTAGCATATGAAGTGTAGAATCCTTTGTAAAATCAGACTAAATTTGACCTAGGGGTAAAATAAGACATAACCATATCAGAGCTCAGCATGTGTATTTCACGTACCATGTCCTTGTGATCTAATGATGATCCACAAACATTTAACAATCAAAACGTGATAAAGAAGATAATCTAATAATAACACCATAATGTTATAAATAAATAGACTAAAAGCATAACCATAAACCTTATAATGAAAGTTGTTTTAAAGGAAACATAAAGTGTCTGCAATTGAAAAAGGTCTGAAGATTCAAACAAAAAGATGGCAAAGTCTTTAGATAAAGAGAAAGCAATACTTAAAATGCAGGGAAAAATCACTGCAGAAGAAGATAAATCTGAGCACTCTTAGCCACTCTTGTAACGCTTGGCTTCCTTTGTTCCAAGACTCTCAGATGCTTTTCGAATCCTATCACCACCAGAAGCCTCAGCACCACTAGAAGGACCAGATTCCTCACTACCAGTCTCCAAAACATCACTGGTAGCCGCTGGAATAGCTTCATCTTCCAAGTCCGCTACAGGTTGTGGAGCTTCTGGTGGAAATATCTTTGTGGCAGTTATGGCTTGTATCTTGCCTGTCAAATTATGGTCTGACACCTTCACAATGAATTTGCGTGTCTGACCTATTGCATCAAGTAAAGCTTGAGGTACAGGCACCCATTCATCATATCCTACACCTTCATTACACTAATATTCAAGGAAAAGGAATATGAGTACAAATAATATGGAAGTATGTGTATAAAGTTTAGAAATTACCTCAAAGTAATTGGCTACTAATGCAGATGCATGCTTCTCAGTCAACTCTTTGCCAGCATCACCCAGAATCACAAAAACCGCTTGTTCACTCTTATCATAAACAGAGACCTTCGTGAGATATCTGCAATGAAAGAAGATTACATATTAGGGTGGCAATAAGTAAAGGAAAATATGTATGCGACACTTACTGAGGGACGCCAGCAACTTCATTTTTCTCACACTTTTTATTAGTACAAATCAGGGAGGTAGGCCCTTTGATTGCCTTACTATTGCACCCACCGCAAGAAATGTAATACCAAGGACAACCACGGACTACATCATCTATAGTTGCTGTGCATTCAAACGAAACAACCTTGCATTGCAAAAAATAAACACAACTCATAAATACTCAATCATATAACAAGGATTTTGAAAACAAAATAGCGCATGTACCTTAGCAGTTTCTAGCTTCATGTAGGAGAATAGCTCCTCTAGAGTCACTGCCTCTGGCTTAGTCACAATCTCTGCATTAATTTTGTTAGGAATTTTCGAATTAGACTCCAGCCTGAGGAAAATTTCGAAACAAAAATCAAGTTAGATCTGAATTTGCATGAAATGCCAAACCACAAGCTGCATGGACATATTATTTAACACATAAATGCCTACCATCCAAGATAATCCTTGGCAGGCTGGACATCCGCATCCATAAACACTCGAGATGATGCCATTGAACATAGAGCAAGGGTTCCTGCTCATAACACGTAAATGGGTTAATGAAATCTAAATATGGAAAATATGATGAACTACTAATTACGACATCTAAGAAACAATTATATGTACACATATATCAATGTTTCAGCTCAAGTACCACAACTAAGTCCTAATTATGTACACATATATATATTTTTTAATAACTACCATCTATCTGTGAATTATAAAACGATGTTCTTTCATAGGTGGAATGCTAACCTCCAAGGTGTTTAGGGTTTACTGTGGTGACCAGAAGCACACTTGGAGTTCTTCCATTGGACTTGAATTTCTTACAGAGTTAGGTTGCGGCCTGATCCCATAGGTAGAGCTTCATCACTGGTTCGTTGTGTAAGGGTTAAAAAAATTAGTAAGCATTCGAAACAAGAACAACACGTCACCAAAATCGAAAAACTTACTCATGGCTTTGAACATGAACACATATATGCCGCTTCTCTGCTATGGCAACTTCATCTAGGACAGTATGATCAGTGAGAGCCTTCCCATTAACCAGCTTCATGTGGCCAACAAAATCTGAAAATAATATTTCAAGTAGTCAAACATCACATTTTAAAATATATATATCTTAATCAAATTTCAAACGTGCCTATATCAATATCGATTTCAAACGTGTCTATAAAGATAATATAAATAGGTAATAAAAAGGCTTACCATAAAGATCACCTATGTTGTCACAGTTGGTCTGAAACTCCTCGTAGCTATGGAACCTGAACCTATCTTCTTAAATGTGAACTGGAGGATTCAGAAGAACCGACAACTCAGAATTCCATGAGAATGAAACTGTGGCAACATGATCAGCAACCCGATACTGAACTTTTCTCTTGGATCCGGAAAACTTGCTCAGTTTGTAAACTGAGCCCGGTGTCAGTTTATATGTCCCAACCCGACCGGCTGGAACAACTCCTTGGATAACAGTCCCCCAAAAATCATTCAATCTTACTATTATTTTTTAATACAGTACAAATCGAGTAATATCAGAGCAGGATAAAGCAATACTTTATTACAATTTAGGATTTAAGTTTAATGATCTACTTTAATAAACAAAATTTGTCTCAAGTTTTCTCGATCCTTGTTTTCTTCTAATATATTCAACATTCTACATCTTTTTGTTGTCTAAATATTTTGGAAGACGATATAGTGTATAAAAAACTAAAGCGTAAAAGTTCAAGAACAGAAGATTTTGTATGTATAAATTCGGCTATAATCTAACATTAAAGTTCACAACTAAAGTGAAAAGTTAAAAAAACGTTACAGCATAAAGACATTCATGTTTCGAAAAGGAAAAGATGGAACTAAGAAATTGATGTGTCCCTATACAATGAAGATGGTGTCATTTTAATTGAATGGGTTTGTTACCTCTTAGTCGATAAGCAGCATTTCCTGTCCAATGAGGGTTTTGTTCTTTGTATTCCGAGCCTCCCAATAATGGATCAGACGAAACATGAGATCGGCTTCATGTGAACCGAGACCAACATCGCGGAAGAGCATCACCTGTTTGGCAGGTCCGGCGGAGAGAGCGGTTGCAGCGTTTGATTTCATCGGAAGAACAGATGAAACAATCGGAGAAGAAGCAGGGGACTTCCCGTTTGGTTTCGCAGTCGCAGAAGAGGCGGCGGTTTTCTTGTTCATCTTGCGGTCGCCGGAGACTTGAGAGTTACCTTCAGGTTCCATGGGAATCAATTTTTGAGAGAGAATCTGTGTGAGTTTTAACAAACGTATTCGAGAGGGAAAATAGATACATAGATTTATAGGAAGAGGAGTGGTGAGGAAGATGAAAAGGATTCATTGACTGAGATGGGGAAAGGATTGATTTACGTAGATAATGGTGAAGTAATTGCATGAAACGGATGTGCACAAAGGAAAATCAATGAAGAGGAAGCCGGAACGAATGCTGAATCGGAGACGAAGCTGAGATCTAAAAAATTAAGGTTCGGTAGGAACCTAGGTATTGTGTCTCACATATCACTTTCGCTCAACACAGCAGGCCTACGCAGGCCAACCTTTCTTTCAACAAAGCAGCTGATACGAAGCCCAAAATGACAAAACAAAGCCCATACACAGCACAGTCGGATGACATGGAAAAATAAATACTTCTGATTAGCAAAATATCCTATCCGACGTGGCACACTTCTTATGCTCTCATATAGCGCTTTTACTTCTAGTAGATTTTATAAGTTAATCACCGTATAGTTTAATGTTATGTAATTGCATAGCTCAAACTCCAAGGCATAGTTTAATTTTTCTTTAATCGTTTTTATCAAATAGAATCCAGTCATCTAGCAACTAATCGTTGAAAATGAAACTTTCGATTTTCGAAGTCCGCAGGTGTGGGGATTGTTGAGACATTGACGCGACCCACACATATGCAACCTCGTTGATTAGACACGTGACAATATCCATGAATGTAAAGAAAAAATCTACTAAATATAGAAAGAATCATTGAAAAAGATTAAAGATGTCAAAAGAACATTTCATAGACAAGTTTATTATTATTATCAGATTACTGTATCAATACGATAACACTAAGCTGCTAAACACATTAGTTAATGTGGCTTAACGAGTACGACATGATCTTACTTTGCCATGAGACGGGAATGAAACGGCGCGTTTTATCCTCGGCGTCTCCTCCTCTTCTCTGTTCTTCTTCCTTTCATCAGAATCAACCACAACGGCTAAACTCCGGCAACTGTTTATCTCCGTTTGCTGAGCCTCAACACACTCTTCTTTTACTTCTGCGACTGAGTCTACACTCTGACTAGGACATGAGATGGCCATGAGGATACGGAGACCAATCAAGATGAGAAGAGGAAGAAAGATCAGGAACAGTGCGTAGTAGATGATCCACCCGAATCCAGTAGTGTGGCTCCTGCCGTGAAATAACCATTCAAAGGCTAAGGCAATTCCTGATGTGAAGGTAGCAGAGCTGCTTATCGCTAAAACTTTGACGATCGCCGGGTTTGGAATCTCCAAGAATGCTCTCGTTTTGGCCACACACCCCATCTCTGCCGTTTCCACCTGCGTCACAGCGGCTCTCTCCTGATCTTTGTTCATTTTCAGATTGTTTTTTTCTTTCTTCTTCTTAACTATTAGACCACTAGCAAGTGAAGGGTACACAAGTTAAATACAAAAGGATCACTAATTTGATTTTACTTTTAAAAGATTCTGTAATCTTATTGTTAGAGATTTTTACTCTGAAAATGGGTATAATTAAACCCTTTCTAAAGTCAAAATAAAACAATTTTTACCGTTCACAACATAACTAAACCTTGTGACAAAAAAAAAAAAAAAACCACACACAAGAAGCACAAGCACTACGGACAGAGAGTGAGACGACAAAACAACTAGTTTTAACTAGAAGCTAGCTACTTGATAGTGATGTAGCAGTTAGTCCCGTGGCTAGCCCAATAGTCCTTAACAAGCTTGTT